CCCCCCCTCGAAAGCCATTTTTTTTCGCATGCCCCCCCCCAAATCCCACCAGCCCCCCCTACCTTATAAAAAATGAACGGTCCCTTATGTATGGGCCCCTACACTACTGCCACACCGAGCAAGAAAAAATTCGCGCCTTGCGCAACAAGCAATGGAATTTCGACAGGCGCATGTCTTTGTCACCAAGAGCAAAATCCGAGCTCGAGTGGTGGGTAGACAATGTGATGGCAGGTAAGAATTTCTTGACTCGCGATGGACCGACGTGTACGCTCACCACAGATGCCTCTAAAGAAGGCTGAGGAGCGGTATACGGTAATCAGTTAACAGGAGGCCTCTGGTCTTCCGATGAAAAGAGTCATCACATTAATTACCTTGAACTTCTAGCCGTGTTTCTAGGACTTAAAGTATTCTGTAGATCGCACAGCGATACGCATATTAGACCAGATAGATAACACTACGGCAGTTGCGGTAATTAACCACATGGGAACTAGCCATTCCGAACAACTGAACACATTAACCAATAAAATTTGGGCCTGGTGCATTTCACGCAACCTTTGGGTCAGCGCAACACATATTGCAGGGAAATCTAATGTTGAGGCCGACCACGAATCCAGACAACATCAAACTGCTAATGAATGGATGCTAAACAAAGCATTACTGTCGCAAGCTCTCGAGAGTTTGCAATTCACACCGGAAATCGATTTGTTTGCCTCTCGACTTAACTGTCAATTCCCGCAATATGTGGCGTACAGACTTGACCCCGGGGCTATGGCCATCGATGCATTCTCCTTGATTTGGACTGGGCTAAAATTTTATGCTTTTCCTCCCTTTAGTGTCATACTCTCCCTTCTAAAGAAGATCCAGGAGGACATAGCCGAAGGAGTGTTTGTGCTGCCAAACTGGCCAACGCAACTGTGGTTTCCAAAAGCAATGCAAATGATCACACGCTCGCCTGTCGAGTTAAAAGCATGCGAGACGCTGATGTCCCTTCCAAACCAACCGGAACAGATTCACCCTCTACACAAAAGGCTGAATCTCCTAATATGCCTCTTATCCGCAAAAA